TTTTTTGGGCAAATAACAATACAAAAAAGATCTGAATATACCACCAATCAAACAATCTAAATAAGCAAATTTAGAAAAAGAAATTTCCAGTACAGACAAAAATAATTCTTTTAACCGAGGGGCATCTTTCATTCTGGGAGTTAACATTTCGGCATGGTTTATAAAGATAAGTTTATCAAACCTGGCATGTTCATTAGAAAGAACACTGGGCCATAGTTTTGAGGCTGGAGATTCCCTTAAATTGAGTAATTCTTCCTATAAAAAAAATCAAACATCGCATCACAAATAAGCACAGTGATGAGGCTTATATCAACGTCGCTTGTGTATTGTACATGAAATGCACTCTTAGGCTTCGTATATTTCAAGGTTTCAGAATTATTTATCCTTCAATTAATGTAACAAAAAATAGAGCAATTTGTGAGGTTTTACACATATCTAGACTAATTTCTAGACTACAAGAGGGGATTTTAAGTTCAAAATTATAACCCTTAAAAATCTCCTAATTTCCTCGATCAGTACACAACTTGTCACCTTTGAGTACGTAACACGTGGCTTGTTTTTCACTTTTCCCTGCTCGTCCTTTTCCTTTGTCACTGCCAGGTCTTCGATAGTTTTGCTGGTTTTTCCTAGAATTAAGAAACCCCAAGTAAAATTTGACAATAAGTTAAACGTCTTTCTATTTATAGAAGCATAACCAGATACGACATATTCGCACTTCAAGAGGTGAAGTCGCAGTGTTTACAGTGTAGTTTTTTTTTCACAAACACAGAGAGAAGCCAACACTTTCGAGCCTTTGGCAAAATTAAATCACGGAAAGGAACAGTCCAAAAGTTTTGTTTCACAAAAGATTAACTCATTTATACTGTATCGAATTATGAACAATTTAAATAAACGCGTACCTTTACCCCACGACCCTTCTTTGGTAACGACATTATCCTCTGCTGACAATTCAGCAACCTCCATCTAGGAACTCAGATAAACGTTAGGACAGTAACTTCCTTGAGACGAAGTTAATCTGTTTGTGAATTTAACCTCAAAGAAAGGCTGTATCATTCCAAAAAGCTTAACAAATCTCAGTCCCTGTCATTCACCGTCAACGTCCATTTTGAACCAAAGGAAACTGCAACGAGCTGCGCTTGCGTACTAGTACCTCACTTTAACAGAAGAGCATTTCCGTTTCCTGAGGGGTGGAGAGAGATATTTGTTTTGCTATGTTACTTTTAATGTCCATTCATTGGGCGAGCAAAAAGGTTATTAAGATAAATGCTTTGTTATTATCTAGCGTCCCTTGAACAGGGTAGTTTTCTAGAGCCTTAGCTATCAGCAGGGTAGTACTTCGCATGCAGCCTCGTGGGTGTAGGGTCCCGATTTGCACTTGCCATTTTGTTGGCATTCACAACTTTTCATTGTACTACATGTATGTTAATTCTGTCATGCTAGTAAACTTGTGAGGGTATAGTTGCGCCCAATATGTATATTTTTTAATTTTTTCTTTTTTTTTTTGTAAGTAATCTCCCCAAACAATATTTTAGCTTGCACAGAAAGTGTTGCAAAGCGAATTTTAATGTTAAAAAGGGGAAGCAGTAGGCGCGCTGCCGGCGGCTCGCTCGGGGGTATGTACTTTTTACAGTTTGCAGTTTGCACTGTAGAAACCAGCTTACTTGGATTCCCCAGGGATAGAAAACCAACGATTTTGAATAAAACATACAATGAAGATGATCATATCTTCATTTAGAAAAGATAAGAATTGTTTACCATTTCCAAAAAGGTTTCCGGAAAATCTTGCATTAGACTCCATTTTTTGTTTTGCGACACGCGTAGCAGGTGACGTTAGGGCTAACACACCCTGAAACTGAAAACGTTTACATCGTGAAACTTGAACTTGTGTCGCAAAACAGACGCGACACAAATGTCAAGAGAGGGCCTCAATTGGATTTGAATTATTCAGGGAGATGAAATAGCTCGACTCATGTTTCGATTCCGAGACCAGTTGAGACTCTTACATCCTTCGCGAAAAGTAAAACTTTTACCTCGTCTCGTAAAACTTGTGTCGCAAACAAGATGCACGACACGTGGCAAAACAAGGGCTTTTAGTTTGAATGTCATTATGATTATTCACAAAGGGAGGTAAAATAGCTCAACTCATGTTTCGAAGCTGAGAACAGCTGAGACTACTTGAGACCGTTGCATCCTTCATGGAGGTTTTGGGCGGAGCACGACCTTTGTCAAGTCGCCCGAAAGTCATCTCGCCCGAAGTCATATCGCCCGGAACCAGAGTTATGTCGCCCGAAATACATAGTCATGTCGCCCGCAATTTTATCGAGTGTATAAACTTGAAGAAAAGTAACATCTTAAGTAAATCGCAAGGAAGAAACTCGTAAAATGTTCACTCGCTAACCTATGCAAATATGAAGTTAAACAAAGACTCTAACATCGCTGTTCATTCACTGTTCATTTCAGTGTTGTTCGTTGTTCGTTGCTATGAACTAAGCCGCTCATTCTACAGTAAAAACTAAGGTGCTCATTCTACAGTAAAGATTCTTGTAATTATGTCGCCCGCAATTTTATCGAGTGTATAAACTTGAAGAAAAGTAACATCTTAAGTAAATCGCAAGGAATAAACTCGTAAAATGTTCACTCGCTAACCTATGCAAATATGAAGTTAAACAACGACTCCAACATCGCTGTTCATTTCAGCGTTGTTCGTTGTTCGTTGCTATGAACTAAGCCGTTCATTCTACAGGCGACATATCGGGCGACATGACTATAAATTTCGGGCGACATGACTTCGGGCGAGATGACTTTCGGGTGACTTGACCGTAAAGCCAAATGAGCATTAAAAGTCCCGTCCAGTTAGACCTTTCCAAATACTTTGTCTAAGACAGACTACAAGTAGAGGAACACGCCAAATTTTCGCTATTTCGCCTAAGAGTCCTTGTACCTTCTCGCTAGAAGCACTTTTTGTGTGATCACTCACTCTTACATGTACACGAAAAATAACTTTAAGGTCGTTTCGCCTATACAAGTCGTTTCGCCAACGTCTTAAGTCGTTTCGATTATTAAGTTTTAGGTTAATTCCTTTACTTCTTTCGCCTAATCAATGGCTTCAAAAACGAGATATGAAAGAACGAGGTATATACTTGCTTAGTGTTCATTTCGTTTCGTAAGCGAAGCGACAGAGCGAGACGTTAGCGAAAAGACGCGTAGGCGAAACGGCCGGTCACAGGAAAATAGGAACGAGTCGCCACCTGCATAGTTAGTAGCTATGCTTCTTGTCTGCGTACGTAAAGGTGAATAGGGAGGAAAAATTGAGTGGTTGGATAATATTCAGAAACTGAGGATCGATGCGTTTCATCGAAACTGAGTTTTGTGTACAAAGTTGACAGGTAACTGAGGTAAGTTGACAGCGCAGAGGGACTGAAAGCTGAACATTTAAAGCGATAGCACTTCGACTGAGACAAGGATGAATATTCTTCTTTGAAACTCTATATGGTGACTAAAACAAGTCAACCTAAAAGCCAAAATTAAATGACGAAACAGACCAAATGAACGTACAGAAACACTTGTTTTAAAAGTAACTCTGAGTTTGCACATTCCTTCGATAAATCAAACTACCACTAATTTACATGGTACTATTGAAATAAGCTAAAATAGCTGTAGCGAGTCGAACTTCACGCTGTGCAGAAACACGTCATTCACTTTCCTAAAACAAACTCTTCACCCTTTTTGATGTTCTTCTTCAGCTCAGGTATCAACTGCAAATCAGAGAAAGAGAAATGTCGCGTGAATATGATGCATGATCTGATTTTATATCCATATACAGTCATTCCTCTCCATGTGCGACCACCTCTCGTAAGCTAACACCTCCCACCAACATTTTCCTAGTTAAAAGCCTGTAGTTTGAACCTCTCATAAACGACCACCTATAGCAAGCCACCACGATCACTTTTTGGATTGACGATTTGATAATTTCCCGTACGTTTTAACCTGTAGTGGGCGACCATTTGACGAATGGTCTGCATAATATAAATGTTCTTCAACTACCTCTTCATGGACAACTCTACAAGCCGGACAAATGCCTAAAACGGAAACCTACAGTTGGTCCCTCCCTTTCCTTTGTCCATTCCTTTGACTTTATACAAAATGGACAACTCTCTCAGACGGTCCCAAACCTGTCTGGCTTAAAGAAAGTTCATAACACAGACGCCTCTTAATTTCGTACAGTAGTTCCGGTACCAAACTTCACACAATCCCTACCTCCACAAGATGGCCACCTCTATACACAAAAGGGATGACCACTGGGTGACATGAAGCCTGCCTACTTTCTCTTGTATTATTCAATTTTTATACAAAGCCATTTTTTCCACAAATTCTTTAACAACATACATTTCCTTTCTCACATTGTTACTGGAAAAATGATCACTCCCAAATGTTTACTATACTCCCAACTTACAAAAACCAATCACATTTTCAAGTTTGCAAGTGTTAATTGTTAGCACTGTCATATGCCCAAAAACGAAAGTGCAAAAAGCAAAAGGAATACTAAAAGTGAAAGGTTTAAATAAAGGATTTTCATATAAAGAGTTCATGTGAAGAGGTTAGAGCTGTTTAAGGTCAATTCTGTACTAAAGTCATTACTGCTCCTGTTGAGTTATGAGGAAAATAACATCAAACAAATTTCATAAGAGAGCACTATTTATTATATAAACACCAATGAAATACCGCGTGAGCTTTCGCGCGAAAACTTCATATCTTCACATGTGAAAATAACATGTTATCTTCACATGTGAAAATATCACCGTTGCTATGGCTACATAATAAATCGCGCCTTTTGCAGGAAAAAACTGTTTCATTGAAATGGTTTGGTATTTCATTGGTGTCTATATAATAAATAGAACATTACATGGCCGCTTGGAGATACAAAATTTCTCTTCTCGTGTTGAAAATATTTCACTCGTTCGCTGTGCTCACTCGTGAAATATTTTTCAACACTCGAAGAGAAATTTCGTATCTCCGCGCGGCCATGTAATATCCTCTATATCTATAATAATTTTTTGGTGATTTTGCAGGCATAGCATTAAAACTTGAAAAAGTTAGCCAGCTTTTTCAAGTCTCAATCTATGTCCATCCTTGCCATCCGTTTCTACAGGTGACAGGAAACAGTTTCAGTGCCTAAATATAGCCTTAAATAACAAAACTGGACCATTAGTTTTGGAATTCATTTGACCTGAAGAAGACCTGAAGTTTCAGCATTTTGAAAGATAGCATATCGCATCACATAGCCCCTTTAAAATATCCAAGTGAAAACCACTCTGACAATCAGCTTCCACGTACCTCTTCCAGCTTTTTTTCTTCATAGGCAGAAAGTTTTCCATAACCGAGGGCATTCTTTACACCATTTGGCTATTTGAAAGCAGATACAAAAAGAATATCAGATATTATAACAAAATCGGATAGTTAAAGAAAGTAATTCTAGATAATGCTATCAATCCTGAGTGCCTATTATATCAATCTAACTGATCAAATCATAACTCCCTGTTCACCGCATAATGGTAAAATTATTCAGTGAAAAAAGACAAAACAAAACAAAACAGAGCAAAATATAGGCCAGGATAAAAAAATCAGAAACCTACAAAGAGAAAGCCATCTGTTGTTTCTGTACGTCTCTTCCTAAGAGGGTAGCAACCTGATCCACTTATTCCACCCCCTCCCACTCCCACTTGTTTCTGTAGCCCTGTCCCCTAAGATGCCCACCCCGCCCCCTCCCACTCCCTAAAGAAAAAGGATGGAAACAGAATGCAATTAAAAACAGCAATCATGTAAAGGCCCAATCACCTACCCCAAGCTCTACAGGTTGTGCAAAGTAACCAGTGCCACAGACATCTGACTGGACAAATGCACACTCAGTAACTCCTTGCTTGCCATTCAAAGCATCAAGGACCTGAATATTGCAGATAATTCCATTTTTTAACTTTGTAATAACTTAAGTCTTGACTTATAATATTATTACTATACTCAATAACTGAGTTCCACAACGGAAGAAAACAAAAATGATAAATTAATATCAAAATGATCAGGAAATAAAATTATAATCACTGGTGTTTGCGGTTCAACTCTATTATCAGTGAGGAAGAAACTAGTGAAAGGGGAGAGATTGCCATGATAGCCTGTGAACGGGCTCCCAAGAGGAGTGGGGCAAAAAAGAAAATCAGCAAGAGAAGTGAGCCGAGCATGGAATGGGGAAGAAAAAAGGCCGGGGAGCCTGTAGAATTTGTTTTGATGCTGCCCATGGTCAGGTCACTGACTGTTGACAAGTGAGTGATGAATAATAACAACGTGTGTATGAACGTCATTGAAGCCGATGCATTCGAGCAAAAAAATATTATTCGAGAGGAGGTATAATTACCATATTGACATGTTAATGACATATGTGTTACAGTTATTGCAAGTGGGAGGATAGGCCACATCAAAACAAAGTCTACAGGCTACTCCTTCTTTTTTCTCCTGCAGGCCCTGCTCAGCTTGCTTAGCTCAACAATTTCTTTTTTTCCCCACTCCACTTGGGAGCTTATTAGCAGGCTATTACCATGGTGGTCATTGGCTGTGATTAATTTTGCAGTCATTATTCTCAGAAGAAAGAAGTTGCTTTCCTTTGCTTAGATAATTTCTATGTGTTTATATTGTGTGTTGTTTACTTTTCTTTCATCCACTGTTGTCAACAATGATCAAGAACACCACAAGAAAGGGGAAGTGGTGTTTTGACTTGCATGTGAATTGGATGAAAGTGAAGGAGGGTTGCACTGTGTCTCAGTCTCAGTCTTTTGTCCTGAGTTATCTGGGGTCCAGAAGCAGGACAAGTGAGACGGCTGGAGATACAACAGGTTGAGTCTGTTAAATTGTACCCTTCTTGCTCCACAGCACCAGTAGCATGCTGGTGGTTGCATTTGGCTCACACGGAGCTCATTCACCCTTTCACAGGTTTTGTTTTTTCTCCTGCTGGGTGACATGTCACCCTCCTCACTAGCATAGTGCTGATGGAAGACCACTATGTCTTGTTCATGTGGCAGGTAATACTGTGTTACAGTACATGTATCATCAGTAGCAGAGTCCAACCCCTGGGAAACCTAGACATGCTAACTAATGTTAAAATAGCTCATAACTTGTAATTTACAAACTTTACTTACAGAGTTAACAAACTTTGTCCCAGCATATGCCATTGAGAGTGTTGCAGATCCCTAAAGTAACAGTTGACAGTCATGAATTAGTGCTACATTATGACATTGTCATTCTGAATGATATGCATTAATGTAAATCAACATCATTGCATTACTTAAATAGCCTATTAATGCAGCCACCTCTCCTTGCTCGTCGCTGCTAGGGATGTTTCACAGAAGAGATGTCTGCATTAACAGCCAATAAATCAATGTTTACATAATTAATCAGCATTCAAAGATTGTTATTATTTATGGATAAATAATATTGTTCTTTACATGAAATGTAACAATATTATTTATTCATAAACCTTTATTGTGCTACACGAAACAAAAAAAGGAAACAGATTGAAGAAAAACAATCATCTTACAGATCCTGCTTTGGCATTCACTACTTCCGTCCCAGCATTCTGGATTCTGTCAGTGAGCTTGTCAACTTCCTCATCAGTAAATGACACACTAGGAGATGTCTTGAAAACAAAATCATAACAGATTCAAATGCAATTTATTTTATCCATCAATAAAAATAATACTCCTGAGTCTTCTGAGTCCATTGTTTTTTAATTGTAGCAAAAATTGGTGTAACATCTAGATTCTGTAAATCTGTGGCAAACAATAGAGGAAAAGTTTATCTTTGAAAACGTGTTGTGAGAGAAGCTGGAAATACTAAGATGTTGTAAGGTTCGCCTCTGAAAATCCCTGACTGAAAACAAAGTACTGTATGCTTAGTACAGTGTAGGTTGGTGTAATGGGTGTAACCTATACCAAAATTAATGTGATGTCAGTTTTACTAGTAAAAGCTAACGCTATGAATTACAATAACTGTATTTTCTACACAAAAATAATATTCTACAGTAGGGATTTCAGTACAAGCCATTTCCGGCAGAATGTCACTGTTTAAAGGCTCCTCTACTGCTGTATATTAAAGCCTTCTGAGCGTTAATAGAAGATTAATTTATGAACTAAAGAGAAAAAAGACAACCATTATTAATAAGACCTATTCTTTGATGTCCATTACAATGCTGAAAATTACAGTTTGGGTTTCTTTTTTCCAGTTTCTTAAAAATTACTGAGCCAAGTTACTAAGACTTAATACATGTATGACTGGAGCACAAGCTAAATATATTACCTGGGATAAAAGAGGCAGAATTGTGATACCAGAATGACCACCGATAACGGGTACTTTAACATCTTCCACGTTAAGCCCCTAGAACATAGAAATACAGGCAATGACATCACCAGTGACCTGTGTCACTGGTTGGAGAGAATAACATTAACATTCTCAAACAATCTGTTATTCCACAAAAAAATCTGTACCCCTCTCTTGAAAGATTGCAGCTTTGGAGATAATTACAGTGCGTGCTTTGTCAGTACTCAACCCCTCAGAGGAGGCCATTTCCAAGCTGCTCTTAGAGCCTCTTTTGCGAAAAAATGGTCCTCTGAGAGGGAGGACACAAGCTGACTGGCGATGAATAGTCTGCACTCCAGTAACCATAAAAAAGAGGGAAAAAGAAATCTATTTAAAAAAATTTGGACGATGCCGGGTTTTGAACCCAGTACCGCTACCCTGAACACTAACGCCGTGTACTATGGGGACATATTTTCCAAAGGGAAAATTAAAATTATTTAATAGTTTGTTTTACTCAGTGTACCTTGTTTTTTCACTACATTTGTTTTCTATTGGCTGTATTTTATATCTTTCTAATTGTTTGGCTTAAGAAAAAAAAAAGAAGAAAAAAGGAATTCTATTTTATTCTCGTCAAAAAGGGCTATGGCAGGTATCACACCCGGTACTTTCTGGTCCAAAGGTTATGCATTAACGCTGTCTGCTACAAGAACAATATATATGACATTACCATCATTCATTCATTCGTTCATTCATGCCGACGATAGCATAGAGCATTACCAGAAAGCTAAACAAGTATTACTGTTAAATTCTTTTCCTTGCCTGTTTCTTTATTCTTATTTATGTATTACTCCTTTTTGACATAAGACGTTTTTCACTTGGCCTTACACTGAAAGGTGGGGGGTGGGGGGGGGGGAATGTTCAAGACCAATACTTTTAAATGATAATGATATTAGGATATTGGTTTTATTGACTCCAAAGTAATCCATTGTTCAATATTAACCTTAGTTTCTGCAACAAATGTGTGTGCCCTGACAACATCCAAAGTGGTGACACCAAGAATTCTAGGAAGAAATAAAAGAATAAAAACTTAATGAATGCATTGTAAAATTTATATGGCAAACTGCAATCCCCAGTGCCTCCTCGATCTATGTAATGTGGCTTTTTCCATCTTTTTTATATCAGGATCATTCTTGCAGTTATGTACGCACAAAATACACGTACCACTACATGATGAAAAGTATCCACAGAATTAACAACAATTAAATCAATTCCCTCCCACTCCATCTCCATGGCAAGCCTTGGTTGTTCATACAATGGATACCACTGTCCACCAGATAAATCACTACACAGTGGATAGGTAAATTACGGAAACCAATATGGTATTACGCACTGGATAGAATATTCACTATTATTTTGAACAACTGGGGCCAGAAGAAGGAGTAACTGCAAGTAGTCAAATACAGTGTAGTTAAGAACTTGGACAAACAATATTGGAAACTGGCCATCACTACAGCACTGATATGCAACAAAAGAGGTGCTGAAGGTACCTGGCTGGATCAAAAACTCCTGCTTTCTTATATACTTCACAGGCAATTGGAACAGTAGAATTAACCTGCAAAAATGTTCAAAAAGGCACACATTAATTCAGATGGTTTACACATGTTTATACCACCTCAGAACAGTTACTTACAAAAACCTCGAAACCCTAATTCATGAACAATACTATAAATTAATGTAGGGCTGGGAGACAAAAGAAAATTGATAATCGACCTACGTTCAAACAACAAATTTAACTTGAATTCAATATTAATTTTGACCTACAACATAATACTTACAGGATTAGAAATGATACAAATTATGGCTTTTGGGCAAAACCTAAAAGAAAAAAGAGCATCGATATAAATCTGGCAACCTGCTCACTAAGACTAAAATCTTACGATGAAAAAAAAAATCCAGACTGAAGGAAATAATAAATTAAGAAATTCTTACTGTGCACAAGCTTCAGTGAGGGTCTGTACAATAGAGGCATTTGTATTAAACAGATCATCCCGGGTCATTCCTGATGAAGCAACAGCCACAAACAAAAGTCAATCATTAAAAGCAGCAAAAAACCAGAAATTCATATTATTATTTTACTCAGCTACAATATTTCACCTATATGCTGCAATTTTTTCAAGTTAAGATATTTAAGGGTGGGGACTGTCTATTAGAAACATTACCTACCTTCAGTAGAAACAAGACATATTAACACGAAAATTAATGTCAAATCCCTTACAATGTTTCCCATTTTTTGCCTTACATCGAAACTTAGTGACAGCCTTTGCTGCTTCCTTCATGAAAACTGGGTTTCAAAGTAAGAACAGCCAGGTTATTTATACTAACTTCAAGCAGTTTTCATACCTTACAATTATAGTATAACGACCACTTGCTGCAACAATTCAGCTAACCGATCATAACATTTTAGCCATTTTAACCTTGCTAATATTTTTTTCAATATTATCAGGACTATCTATCCCAATCCTGACAGAACCAGATAATTGAGGTTTCACTGTACCTGGCTTTCTTGGAACACCAGCAGGTATAACAACAGCAGCACAGCCTTCTAGAGCCCCTTTCAAATCATCAGGTCCTTGGTGGCTTGTTACCTAATATATTCAAACAAAATAAATAAACTCCAAAATGTACCGAACTTGGTCCTGTCTAGGGAATCGAACCAGCGACCTCCCATTCCACAGTCAAGTGCTCTACCGACTGAATTAATTCTGCTACAGTACTCAGTGTACTCACTTAATTACTTACTTTAGCAGGTGTGCAGATGTGGCTAATGTCAGCTACAACACCTACAATGAATAAAACAAAACCACATGTAAATTAAATATTGATGTAAAGAGAGGAAATGTCACTATATGTTGCTATCCAACATCTCAAGCTTCAGAAATTGCTTGCATTTTGAATCCTCTCACCCACAACTAGAAAGTAGAACTCTCCCAGGGCTTGGAAAAAAAAAACTCATATCCAACACTTCCTTTGAACGTGCAGCTCTCTCATTTTCCTTGCCTGAGGGAACTACTTACTTGTTTTAGTTAATGATTTAGTTAGAGGATGACTTGCCTGAACCCTCGCCCATTAGGCAAGAAAACCTTTTCATACTCAAGGGCGGATCTAAGGGGAAGTTGCAGGGGGAGCAACTCCTCCCCCCCCCCCTGAGAAGACCTGCAGCTTTCTATTACAACTGGTATTCTGTATTAAAATTTGTTTACATCACCAGTCAGTTATGCTATTCCTTACGTGGTGCAACCCCCTCTAAGAAAAATCCTGGATCCGCCCCTGTACTGGACTACTGGATGGGACTTTTTTCAAGCCCTGTCACCTCTATCCCCTGAACCCCTCTTAATACCATGGCTAACGATGACAATTTTGGTAAGATCAATTCTAGGCAGACACCACTTCAAAAGCATTCAAATTCTGACATTTCATGTGCTGGCATTTCTTTGTCATCATTATAGTGGGTTTCGCTTATTAAGGTAAAGGTAATGTCAAAAATCACCAACTATCCATCATGGTTGAGCCTACACTGCTTTTTGTGTACAAACAAAATCACCAAGGAATAAAATTGCTGCTTCTCTTTCCTCCTTCCTTCACTAGGCGCAAGTTCATAGTGAGGTTGCAGTACAGATGTAAGCCACTATGAAATAATCTATCCATTCTTAGAAATCCAGGAGCAGCTACCGTAACTGGCATAAAAATATATGGGTAACATTGAAAAAAATTACAGATGAAAACAAAAAGAAAATAAATTCCTGGTCAATAAAAAGCAAGGAATTCAGATGATTCTGGAACCATATCAGTGAGAGTAAGTAGCCAGGGGCTTTATTACTCTTCCAGTAAATTTTCCCTCAATGATCAGGATACTACCCATAGTTTGAATAACTTTTGCAGTAACAGCAATGAATTGAGAAATGACGTAATCAACATGTCACAGCCACGGGACAAAGAAAAAAATCTGAATCTCCAACAGGAATTGAACCTATGACCTTCCCCACACTGGTCTAGCCACTGAGCTACGAAGGACTTATGGTATCTGCAATGAATTGGTTGTTAAAACATTGGAAAGGAGACCAACACCTGCCGCTGCTTCAAAAAATGTAGTCTCTATCAGCTGTTGCCTGTGAATACAGCTGTCTCTCCTTACTCCTCATGGGATGGACATTCTGAGAGAGAGATATCTGCAATTCGTACCCAAAAAAGTTCTATACTGATGACATGATTCAATGTGTACATAATACATCTGGTGGTCATGAGGTTACAAAATTAATGTTAAAATTTGTTCTAGTTTATTTTTCTCCCAGTATATCATCATAAAGTTTTGAGTTCTTCAGTGAATGAGCAGGAGCAAAACTCAAATGCTTCTCGTAAAAAAGAATGACTGTTTTAAGTAGAATCATGGCTTTTATATTTGATCGTTGTGACCTTCTGTCTTTTGTCTGCATTCATAAACAATAGCTAAAAGATTAAAATTACTATTAAAATTACTAAGCACGCGACTGACCGAAAACAAACGCGCGACGAGGAATGGTGACGTCAACAATCACATTGCTGAGCACCATTTAAAGACGAAACATCAAATTGACTGGGACTCTGCGACATGTATGACGTATTCTACAGACTACTATCAACGTCTTACTTTAGAAAGCTGGTTTACTAACTTAGAACAAACGCCACTGAATCATAGCCAACAGTTACCAGCGCCGTACAAACGACTTGTTAACGAGATCAAACAAAACTAACTACGAGAGAACAACTGGAGAACTGACAATTTGACTAACAACAGACGACTGTTTAACTGTGACAATAGACGGATCGAAACGCACCAATGACTGATTACGAGTATTCATAGCCAATAACATCACGGCTTAACTGACAGACGACCAATAACATCGCGACATAATTGACTAATCAGATCAATAACCAGAGTATAATACCATCAACTGACGTGATACAACTCACTTTGACTCTGAAGATGACTACCGCACAGGTTGTCGAAACGTCAGTCACTGTCAACAACAACATTCCTATTCAGGACTACATTCACCCGGACGATCAAACTCAACCTTTTAAAATTACTATGTTGACCAATCAGCACTTGCTGACCAGATTGCGGACAAATCTATGCCATCAGTATGGAATTTTGGGGGCTGAATTGCAGGGACTCCCCACAAAAAGTACCGCAGAGAGATGGCTGTATTCACAGGATTTATCTGCTGCTGCAAACCTGTTGCTTTCCTGCTGCTGCATGAAGTTAAAAGGATGATGATGACCACTTCCTTTGCCTAAGGTACTGGGATTTCTTACAGTTTTGGGAATCAAAAGAGTTGCAGACTGTTTTGTTTTGCCCCTTGTCTAAAGCAAAACTTGATGATTATTAATCCCAAGGTTGCTGTTTAGTCAGGTGGAGTACTGTTTTAACCACAGCTGGTGCATGTTGCATATTGGCCATTGATTCAAGGATAGTGCCCCGCTAAATCACATTCCCCATTGGGAGTGGACAGTTACTTCATAATTTGCCTGGATCTGTTTTCAAAGTGGAGACTTGGGCCCTGTTTGAAGATTTTACTACTCCCTTCAAACAGACCCCTTCTCCCAGCTCCAAACAGATCCTTTTTCCCAAGGTCTCAATTAAGTTTTGAAACAGTTCTGTCTCTGTATTCCTCATTATTCCAGTGGAAAAGACTGGCGATTTTCGGCAAAAGCGGGTTTGAACTGCCTACCTGGGGTGTTGACGATATCGTACAAGGCCAAATGGCTGATGGCTGGTGACTCCTTCATTAACAATGACATAGGCTGACCAATTCCCCCAGCAGCACCAAGAACAGCAACTTTCTGTTGGTGCTGCAAAGACATATAACAGAGGAAAGTCATTACACAACCTGCCTAAATATATAGACCAAGTGTGACCGGCCGATACTAGGAATCTTCATCAGAACGAGAAATGATGCTTGTACATACCTGGGAAGCCACCGAAAAGTTTCTTAGTGCCTTGCTAGCTCCCCTTAAACAGAATGCTGACCTCGAAAACATGTTGAAAGTTGTAAAATGAGTAGAAAACCTCGCTCATCCACTGTAATTTTTGGGGGTACAGATCGAAGTGCAATTGTGCATGCCTTTGTTTCCAGTCCCCTGCACGGTCATAGCATCCTAAGTATGAGGGAGGGGAGGGTGTTGGAAATTTTGTCGATTCTTTCCTACAGTTTCAACTTCGTTTCTTTTTCAGGGTGGCTTAAAAAAAGAGAGAACATATGAAAGTTGTATTGAGAGTAAAATAAAGTTACAACGTAGCTCTCCAGAGTGATAAGGCATCTGTCTCAGGGTGGGACTCCACTTCCGATCGGCTATCCCATGATTCCTGATTCTTATTTGATCTTACGGTGCCTTTCTAGACATTCTAAAGCAAAAGCCCTGAGGAAGAGCTTGCGTTTTGAAAAACCGCAAAAAATAAAAGCATTTTAAAAAAATGATCGATGAAATTTTAAAATTAATAGATAAATTATTGCTAATTTATTTTATAAACATAGATAAAAATCGATCAGATTTTCATGATGGCTCAATGGGGTTAACTGTCCGCCGTCGGAAAAGGTTATTTTTTATCCTCAACCGTCAACAATGCGAAAAATATTAACCGTCAAATCACTGTCAAAAAGTTTCAAGGTATTTCAAATCTCACTATTTCAGCTGATCTTCACGGACATAACCGTCAACAAAGCCACTATCCCATTGAGACGCTCTTTCATACTCGCCGGCAAGTTATTGAGGGCGGAACAGGAAACAAAAGGCCCAGTTCACTCTTTTTTCATTTCCTCCCCGATCACGAGGAAAGATTGAAGTGCTTAAATGACATGAACGAAATAATATAGCCAGGGGATAGTCCACTACAAAAATGACGGGAGTGCTGGGCGTACTTTTTAGGGGTTAAAATTTGTGTTCTGGTACCGCTTAGGATGCTTTAAAGTTTGCGAGCCAAAAAAATCAGTGATGAGAACGTGAACTAGCTGATGATTTCAGATGCTTTTCTGGTGCCTCTCGGCGGTTAAAATAAATGGGAGCCACGGCCACAAAGTGTTTCGGACGTCGAGTACAAGTCATACGTGTTAATTTTTGTATTTTGAAACCAACTGGACTGCTAAAGGAGTCTTGAATTGCACTCATGTGGAAACATGGGAAAAAATACTAAGGGAAAAAACCGCATTTTCCTTTCCTCTCATCCATGCACTTCTGACACCTCCGCCTCCTCCTCTACTTTCGACTGAAAAACGTGTTTTAAGTCCGCGAAAGTCGAGAAAAAAGATCCAGGGGCAGTCAGGGGTAGGAAGAAAAGGCGCAACGAAAGTTTTGAAGCAAATTCACAGGCGCCGCAATCGGGTACGTAAGGGAGTGTATGAACGTATTTTTCGTTTCAATTCCAAATGAATATGAACGAATTAGAAATATGCGAATTCGAAATGCATTTGAACAAACTTTTTGTTTGCGCTATAATATAAGCCATGATAACATAATTTCTGCCTAAGGCCCAGGCGGTCTGAAAACGGGTATGGATTTTAGTGGTCTGGTCTGAAAACGGTTGTGGAAAATAACAGTTTTTGGTCTGAAATAGGGTCAGGATTTGGAGAACCAAGCGGCACACCCCCACCCTCCCCAGGCGCCAGATACGCAGACTACATAACAGTCAAAACACCAAGTGGGGGAATTCCACACTCGTATAGATAAAAAAGACAAGCCTTTTGATTTTACTTCGCGTGTCCTTTTGTTTTACTACTGACGATGGCAAAATTTTCTCTTTGACAGTAAAATTAATTGAGAGATGGCGTTCGAATGGAATAAATATATTAATATTTACAGAAAATTGCCTATAAAATGCCATTTTTAAACAATATAGACAGTTCACAGTTACGTTCAAAACTCAGTATTCTGGTTCACTAATGTCGGTAACAAGTGACCCGAACATCTTTTCTTCCCAGCACGACAACTGTTCGATAAATCCTCTTGTTGGCTGCATGTTTTCTCGGCATTTTTTCAAGTGGTTGTAGGCATCCTACAAAATAAAATACAAAACACATTGAATAAGTTTGCTAAGAAGGAAGAATTTCCTATAACTTTCTTTAATATGCCTTGACTTTTTCCCTGACCTTGAAAAAAGTTCTTTTGCCCTGCGCATTGCAATTATTGGATCATGATACTTTTCTGGGAAACTGCCCATCTACCCCTCCCCTAAGCCAACATTTTGACCTAGGTGAGAAGTAAGCGTTAATGTTGGCTTAGGGGAGGGGTAGGTGGACAGCTCCCAGAAAAGTATAATGATCCAAAAATTAATAATGATCTCAATTTTTAATGGTTTTTGTGCGTGTTCCATGTTGTCAAGAAACGTACGCTAGGTTGAAAATAACGGAAATTACCTTCAACGAAACTTTTTTATTCCACATGTAATAAGCTATGGCAACAATCACACTGCGACTTATTCCCAGTGAAGAACTCAGAAGAAGTGTTCGGCCATCTTTTGTTTGGTGATCATCTACAGAAAAAAAAGCAGACTTTGCATGCTTTTGCACACACAAGACAAGACTATAGCCTGAGAAAATAGCCTACATTTTGCGACGCCACTCCTGGTTTCCCCGCGAAATTACGGCTGAGGAACGAGCGCAGAAATTCCACACTGATGACGTGTCACTACCTGGATCTGGGTAGCGCTTCTGATTGGTTGCAGCAAATCAATCAGAAGCACAAGGTATGTTAGATTTGGTAGCGACACTTCATTTCGCGGGAAAAACAGTGGTGACGTCATGAGATGTTGGTTGTTTTAGTTTCCTAGGTTGGCAAGACTATACCCTGGCTCCAGGGATCTGTTCTCGAAATACTTAAGATGGAATAACCCATATGCACAGGAATAACCGCCGCCTGGTTAGCTCAGTTGGGAGAGCGCCGGTCTGCTGAGCGGGAGGTCGCGGGTTCAAACCCTGGCCGGACCAACACTTAGGGTCTTTAAATAACTGAGAAGAAAGTGCTGCCTTTGTAATGACATCAGCAAATGGTTAGACTTTCTAGTCTTCTAGGATAAGGACGAAAAACCGTAGGTCCCGTCTCACAGCACTTTCACTGATCTGTTCTTGTGGGACGTAAAAGAACCCACACTACTGTTCGAAAAGAGTAGGGGACGTAGACCTCGGTGGTGTGGCCAACCTTNGTCATGAGATGTTGGTTGTTTTAGTTTCCTAGGTTGGCAAGACTATACCCTGGCTCCAGGGATCTGTTCTCGAAATACTTAAGATGGAATAACCCATATGCACAGGAATAACCGCCGCCTGGTTAGCTCAGTTGGGAGAGCGCCGGTCTGCTGAGCGGGAGGTCGCGGGTTCAAACCCTGGCCGGACCAACACTTAGGGTCTTTAAATAACTGAGAAGAAAGTGCTGCCTTTGTAATGACATCAGCAAATGGTTAGACTTTCTAGTCTTCTCGGATAAGGACGAAAAACCGTAGGTCCCGTCTCACAGCACTTTCACTGATCTGTTCTTGTGGGACGTAAAAGAACCCACACTACTGTTCGAAAAGAGTAGGGGACGTAGACCTCGGTGGTGTGGCCAACCTTAACGGGTTGTGGGATTGGGTAGGGATGGCACCTTGCATGGGACCTTTGAGTCCCGTTTGTGCCTATTCCCTCTGGGCAGGCCTGTTTCCAGAAAAACTTGTAAAACTAAAAAACTAAAACAAATTAGGGAAGAAAAAAACCCCTCTGGTACCCAGGGTAGCAAGACTATGAAATGAAAAGAAAACGTTTTTTTAGGGTTCTAGCCTAACAACAAATGCCACTATCACACTAGTGAAAATATCGTTTCTTACCTATAAAATTAACAATGTCTGACAGGTGTGAAAAGAGATCCTCTTCACCATTATCATCAATTGGTACTCTTAGAATCTGCTTGACTCTTTTGTCCTCTCGACCAAGTGTTGTGCTTTCTGGAGCAAACCTATATGCACACAAGGAAAATTTAACTACTGAATTCCATACCCGTTGGCCTGCGAGCAAGCCTCTCCATTTAATGCTCCCTTTCTTTTCCCACCCCTCGCACTCCCACCTCCTTTCGCGTGCTGTTCTCATGTGACTTCTCGCGACTCCCCCTCCAAATGGAGAGCTTGTTCACAGGGTACGTACCTTCAAAAAGCCACTGCATAAAATATTCTACAACTAAGAGCACAAATGGGAAAATTTGCTGCCTTGAAAGCGACAAAGACCGAAGAAAAAGAATGTGTGAGATCCTTCTTACTCTTCTACATCTATTCCTGTATTTTCTTTGAGGCTATTCCCTACATATGTCGCTATATTTCATACATGTATGTTGTAGTTAAAGGCCGTTCTTAGGTAAGACCAGTGATTCACCCTCGGTTACCAGGTTAAACTGGTAAATGGAATTAACTTAACAAAGTATACATACCGTAAAATTCCGAAAATAAGCCCCAGGGCTTATATTTTTCAAAGGCCCTTTTTGAGGGGCTTATTTTTGGAAGGGCTTATATTCGGAGGGGCTTATCTACAGAGGGAAATTTGTGTTTCAAAATCGATTGGGCTAGACTTAAAGTTGGAAGTAAATGTACCATTTTTGCTTTGATTTACTTTGTATTTGAGGGCAATTTTCTAAGTACAAGCCCCCGGGGGGCTTATATTTGGAGGGACTTATTTTCGGAATTTTATGGTATACCTTCAATGCACTTGGTCTCAGTACCCAGTACTCGTTTAGTTACTATAAGCTGAAGTTGCTAGCCTGTGGGCCACTTCTTGGCCGAGTGGATTATACATTTATCCCCAGGGGGTACTCCTGGGAAATCTTGCTAGGGGTATGCCGCCCTATTCTCCAAATCTTGATGATATTCCCAGACCAAAAAAAGTCATTTTCCACACCCGTATTCAGAAAACAAACAAGGGTCACAAACATGACATAAATGTTTACATCAGGCAGAAATTGTCATCATTACTCACAATAGAATGCCAACAAAAAGATTTCTTAAAATCCGTTTCGAATTTGCATTAATTGCTCTTTTTTCTCATTCATTTATAAATGAAATGACTGCTGTAAATCCTTCATTAAGCCCCCCCCCCTTTTCAGGGGAAGAAAGTTAATAAAATAAGTCCCCCCACTTTATTAAGCCTCACTCCCCTCCCCTAATGTGAAGAATTAGTGAATTAGTTTATTAGTGAAGAATAATTATTATTCTTCACTAATAAATGAGAGACTGTATTAATCAATCATGACTGTAAAACTTCGTGTGGACTGATCCGGGATGGTTTATTTACCAAGCGGATGTTCAGATTATATTCTGATCCTCCGCTGCATGACCTCCAACCTTCTTGTTCTTGAGCTTCTTCACTTTGTATTCTAGTTCTTTATGGAGAACTGATACCATTGTCTTTTCTAAAATAAATAACCCCCCCTCTCAAATAAACCCCCCTCTCTCAAATGGGCTTGAAATAAATACGGCCATGGGGGGGCTCAATAGAGGATTTACGGTACCTTGAAAGCCATACCCGATTCAAGAACAAAATGGGCAAAGTCTATGCCCATTTTCAGACCAAAAACAGCTCAAAAACCATATCCTTTGGAGCAGCACATACCCAGGGCTGTGCTCTAAGGAAAATTGAAGGGAGCCCAGTGCCCTGAAACTGTAAAATCTAGGGTGCCCAGCATATGATTTGTATGAAAAATCTGAGATTTTCTGGTCGCCCGAGGGCAAAAGTTAGGCGCCAGGGGCCACCGGGCTCTGCTAGAGCACAGCCCTGATACCTATATGACTTATAAAAGGGAGTACCCCCTCCCCTCCCTGTGGCCATAAATCCTCCCTTTTAGGGTTAAGAACAGGAGCCTTGGCCCTGACCTAGGGTACTTTGCCTCTCCTTCCCTCATTCCAGCTATGGGCAAACAGTTTTCCTACCTTCCTAAGTCCTGTTAGACAAGTAAAGTTTACATATTAAAAGGGCATCACCTGGACCACAAAGACATTATAAAGGAGTTGCAACCACAAAATATATAAAGACATACTTGTTTTTAAACTTTTCTTTTGGGAATCAAGAAATAAGTGTTATACCCAGACCTCGAGGTTCATGTAAGGGGGGGGGGGAGTGGGGGCAAAAACCCCCAGACCCCACCCATAGATCAACCACGACATACACCTTGCTTTCGCTTCCAGTAAATAACAAGGAGCAAAACCTCTGCATGTTTCGCACAGAAAAAAGTGACTTACACTGAGTCATTCTTTTTTCCAACGATAACATTTGCCTTGACTTTAAGGTCCTTGATAATTCTTCTGTCTTGGGATTGTTGAAATGTTGCCACAAACAGGAAACCAGGAATGATCTCCAGTGGATAAGTACTGATCACATCCAACTCCTGTTTTCAAGAAATTAGCTGATGTGATTACAGGTGAACATGTGCATGTTAGTGTAATGCAATATCAGCACGTGAAGGGCCCTATTCAAAAAAATTGTACAGTGGAATCTGAATGTAATGAAGGGCCAAGGGAATGACAAACTATGCTTGCTATAAGAAGGTTTTAATATGTTGAGGTACTAGGGCTAGGTTTATTCAGGACTCAACATTAACAGCTGCTTGCTTGCCCGGGGCAACTAAAAATTTCAGGCAACTGAAATTTCTGTGAAACAAAGTTGTAGGTTAACATGAATAATCCAGAAACTTTCTATTGTGAGCCAGCAAAGGGACCTTATAGGGAGAAAAGCTCAAAGTGAAACAGCCTCCCTTGAATACCCAAAAAACTTTTGATATATATTCTGAGAAAAAAAATGAGGTGCTAGACATCACTCAAAAATACACTTTGCTGTGAGAGTTTCTTATTCTTTTTTTTTTTTTTGCTTTTCTGAGTTAGCTAAAGTGTAAGAAAGTTGTCTGGTAGACAAATCATCTTAAGTGGCCAGTTAAAAGATTTGGAAGTCTCTTGATGACTTACAACTTAAAAAATGTTCATATTTGCAAGCTTACCCTTGGCATGTAGATGATCTTTTGTGTGCGAAGAAATGGGTACAGTGCTGAAAATTCCTCATATCCACCTAAAACATTATTAAAAAGGTAAAACTTATTTATTTTAAATAGCTGATGTTGTAGAAATTAAGGCCCTCATACTGTCCTTCACCCCATTTACAAGCAGTCTTTATATTATGGCTCCTGTAAGAGATTATAAATAAATTTCTTGCCTTTGATAACTTTTACAGAATTTTTGCTTCCCATATCCCACATCAGCTTGGCACATGAAAGAGCAGGGCTATCTGAAATATAATAATGAAATATAATTCTCAGGATATTTATAAACTGTTTGTGATTTGTGCGACTTTGAATTTCTTGATGGTGTTAAATATTATTATTATTGTTTCTAATATAAATTTAGTGAATAATGTCAAAGCATGGCTTACTTTTGTCCTTCAGTGAACTTGTGCTACTGTCATAAATAACAACATGTTCCTTTGTTTCCAGCTCAGCATCATTTGGAACTGTAAAAGCACCAATGTCATTCTGAAAATACACAAAACATAGCAAATGTTAAAACACTGAATCACTGGAAACAGCTCAATAAAATTAATCTTACCCTTGGAGCAAATTTTGCGGTTATTACATGGCTTTCACTGTAGTCGTGGTTTTCTCTTGTATCTGAAAAAATACATGCAAGAAAATTGTTACAGAAATTCTTTATACTCACTTCCGCTGTTAAAAAAAGATCTGAATAAAATGAGTTTGCTCAAGATGAAGAGTATACAAACTATCACATCACATAATGCATGGAAGATGTAGAATATTCCTGGTAAAAGCTGTCTCTTACAGGACAAAATTAATAACTCAGTAATTTTTGCTTATTTGCCATTTCATCCTACCAGATTTTAAATATACATATATTTTCAATAGCTGCAGGAATTGTGCCGTTTCTATGCCTTTGCTACACCATTAAGTATATTTAAGTCATTAATTATGATGACCCTTTTCTCTGGGGTTAAGGACTTATCCCTTTTACATTACTTATGGTAAAAAATAAGTAATAATGAAAAAAATACATAAATTATTATTCTCTCCCCTTATGGGACTTTTTAGGGATAAGGAAACAATAATTCAAATGTAACATAACAAGGTTAAAAATCCAAACTGGTAGGAGGTGAACCAGTTGGCTACTTTACAAGTGTGGCCAAGGATTTGAACTTGGGATTACCAAGAACAAATCCAGCAAGTGGTTAGGGTGGACCTTGAACTCAGGGTGTCCAGTTTACAAGTCCAGTGCTCTAACCACTCTGCCACCCTTCCTTGATTTCTCTGTGATGCATCTATTTCCTCTTCCCAGTCCACTACACAGGCTTCTTACCTAAAAGGAGGAGATAATTAGGATCACTCAGCCTTGGGTACTGGGCAGCCTGTGCAAACAGAAATTAAATGAGTTGTTAATAGAATTAAAAAAAAAAACAGCCCTGGAGAAGCATCAAAAAGGCCTCCTTGAAAGTGAGACAAATTGCTTCTTGTAAAAACTAATATTGCTTATTGATAGGTCCCTTTAACCAGGGATCTCCCCAGGTACTATAAGCATGACCCCCGTCTATTTTCATAAAAAAAGCAAAAAACAAACAAGCAAGTTCCTCGCCTACTAATTGCATTTTTAATACCCAGCTACTAGTAAACTTGTTGACATGCAGCCCTGCTCTGGGGAGTTGTGATTTTGGGTTTATTGAAAATGTCAGGTTTTTTCCTTAGTTCGCACTTGCTTAAAAAACTATATCTTAAGGGCAGAATTAATAAAGCTTACAGATCTGTTATGTTATTCTGACACATTACACACTTCGTTTCTGCACCTGTACTAGCTAGCACATACTCAAGCAGAGAGCCAAACAAACCTGATTTAGAACGTTATAAACCTCTGTGCATTCACATAAAATAATTCCAGCTGAAGACATCTTGCTATTATTTTCAAAATATTTGTCACGAGATAACGTTTCAAGCTCGAAACCAGCAACGATGCATGAACTACTCAAAGTCGTCCATCATGACCGCCATGTTTGTTCTGGTTGCCATTGGTAAAGCTGCTGGGTTCAAATTTGCTGGCTCAACAAAAGGGATCCACAAGACAACCCTGCCAGTCTTGTGCCCGGGTCTTGTGCATGTCTTGTCTTGAGCTCTTGCGGTTAATGTATCCCCAATATTTAAAATATATTGTTCGTGTTTGCTGTTGTCAATACCCTACGCTGACAGAGAAATTCTAGGCTTCCATACAAAAGGGACCCTTAGATAAATATCGCTAAATTTTTAAATGTCTCCATTAAGCAGGCAAAGAGGTCTACTGATGCCCGGGTACTGGTGATACACAAGACCAAGGTGNAAAAAAAAAACAGCCCTGGAGAAGCATCAAAAAGGCCTCCTTGAAAGTGAGACAAATTGCTTCTTGTAAAAACTAATATTGCTTATTGATAGGTCCCTTTAACCAGGGATCTCCCCAGGTACTATAAGCATGACCCCCGTCTATTTTCATAAAAAAAGCAAAAAACAAACAAGCAAGTTCCTCGCCTACTAATTGCATTTTTAATACCCAGCTACTAGTAAACTTGTTGACATGCAGCCCTGCTCTGGGGAGTTGTGATTTTGGGTTTATTGAAAATGTCAGGTTTTTTCCTTAGTTCGCACTTGCTTAAAAAACTATATCTTAAGGGCAGAATTAATAAAGCTTACAGATCTGTTATGTTATTCTGACACATTACACACTTCGTTTCTGCACCTGTACTAGCTAGCACATACTCAAGCAGAGAGCCAAACAAACCTGATTTAGAACGTTATAAACCTCTGTGCATTCACATAAAATAATTCCAGCTGAAGACATCTTGCTATTATTTTCAAAATATTTGTCACGAGATAACGTTTCAAGCTCGAAACCAGCAACGATGCATGAACTACTCAAAGTCGTCCATCATGACCGCCATGTTTGTTCTGGTTGCCATTGGTAAAGCTGCTGGGTTCAAATTTGCTGGCTCAACAAAAGGGATCCACAAGACAACCCTGCCAGTCTTGTGCCCGGGTCTTGTGCATGTCTTGTCTTGAGCTCTTGCGGTTAATGTATCCCCAATATTTAAAATATATTGTTCGTGTTTGCTGTTGTCAATACCCTACGCTGACAGAGAAATTCTAGGCTTCCATACAAAAGGGACCCTTAGATAAATATCGCTAAATTTTTAAATGTCTCCATTAAGCAGGCAAAGAGGTCTACTGATGCCCGGGTACTGGTGATACACAAGACCAAGGTGGTTTCGCTGCACTGGTCGGTCGTGTTTTCGCAAGATGCAGTGAACTCCATGGTAACAGGTTTACTGTCTCTACTGTCTGGAGGATTTTAACTGTACTGCACTGTAAATAGGCCTGTCATTATTTTTTTCGTCTCGCGGTACGCGCTCGTCTCGTTCTCCTCGCTTGGCTCATTCATGATTTGAATTTTATTTGTCCTATTTCATTTTGCTTGACATCAGATACATAATAGAGGGGGTGAAAGGGGTTTTTGCGTGATACGGCATTAAGTGTTTTTAATTTTCGTGAAAGGTGAAAACACGAAATTAAAATTCGTGAACTGTGAATGGTTTGCTTTTCCTCATACGTGAGCTTTAAAATCTTTTATCCGATATTCGTGATTTTAAACTATTTTTTCGTGAAAATAGATGGCAAGTTGCAACTGAAGAAAAAAATTGGGCACTTTAATATTTGGCATGAAGGATTGAATCCCCTCGTTCACAAGTAAATGACTGACAAATTGAACATAACAGATATTGGAAATTAGTTTGTTTCAGCGTCAAATGACAGGCAAAATCGCTTCGGAAAATTTGATGTCAATTAATACTTTCTCCAAACCATGTATGAATGTATTGAACGCTAAAACAAACTGACAATTGATAATTATCTACGAAAGTAACTAAAGATAAGTTTTTTGTTAAGCTGCAAAAGGTCATTAAGTTTTTCTTACGTTGAGTAGATACATTAAATTCTGCAAGCAGACTACTGCAATGCTGATCGTCCTACGTGTCTTTGCAAGAGATCAACAGTCTTTGTGGTAATGTTCTCATTCTCTTACTTTGTTGACCACAATGAAATCCTGTTGTTTGCCAAATTTTAGCGTTCAGATTGCACTAGATTGCATCCTATTGTACTCAAATTTTCAAAATTTCCCGGGGAAACATGCCTCCGGACCCACCTAGTTTCTCCTGCCTTCGGCATTCGTCATTGGAGCTATCACGCGAATATTATACACATATTCCCAGTTGTGCCTCAACAAGGAAAATTCCCGGCGCCGCCCCTGCGTTTTCGGCTCTTGTTTCACCTGCAGAGAAAAGAGCGCTTTCGATCTCGAGCTGGGAAACAATTTCCGTGACGTTAGAATTTTTTTGAATCAATCATAAGTCAGCTCTTATATTTTTGTGGAGCTAAGACACTTGGGATTTGCGTGGGGATCTCGGATGCAATGGCCAACAGTGACAATGAACAAAGTTTTTTAGAGGGAGTAATAAATTATGTAGATCCCATGGGTTTTCATGGAGGTAAAGAACGAATTCGAATACCCATAAAAAGTAAGCATTCATCCCTTGAAGTTCTTAAGCGGAGCAGCATTGAGTACACTGGATTGAAAGCTGAGTCCGAAAAGCGTGGTCTACTAAGGATCCCCGATTGAAATAAAACTCTGTTAGGAAAGTCCGCAGAAGGGAGCTTAGAGTATGCGATAAACAACGACGACAATATAGATGAATGAATTTTCGAAAATAGTAATTTATCCTCACTGCATACCTATTACCACATCACGGTAAACTAAGTTATGGGAGGAGACCGCGACAACTGTGGCAACTAAGGTATGCAGCGGGAGTTTAGCGTAGCCGCGTCGACCGGCACCAGTAAAAAAAAAAATGCTTCGATTATGGGGAATGTTTTGCCTCCCAATAACAGTGTTGTCCACAAGTCACAAGTACAGTAGTTGGATGTAACTAATTTTATTCACGATTCACTCTCACTTAGTTTCACGGCAATCACGATGTCTCTTAAAACTAAAAACGGTAAAAAGCATTTTTCTTTGTTCTATTTTAACGCAACCGCGAATTCCGAATCGCGAATCTATGCTATAACCCGGTATTTGCCGAAAAGAAATAACAGTAATAACAGTGGTTTGTAGATTCTATTTTGATCAGTGAAGTTATTAGGATCATTGTATTTGTCACGCATTCTCTTGTAATCAAAAATATCCGATTCGACAGAGCATCATTTTTTTTAGACCCACCCCTCGAGTCTTGCTATTGAAGCATAGTACAAGCCAGGTCAACCAATCGGCGCTTTAGTTGCGACATTGTCGAATCAGGGGGAAGGGAGGCGGGGCTAATTCAAAATTAGGAGCACTTTTAAATGTTTTAGTTCTTGGAAGGGCTTGCTTCTGCTAGAGAGTGCAGTGCTTACGATAAGAAATCATATCAAAGAACATCAAAGACGAAATCCTATCAGTGTTTTAGTCTTGGCTGATGTCGAAATGTTGTTAGTTTTGTTGTTGTGCTTTGATGAGACTGGGAAATAAGGCAAATTTTGGAACACTACATATTGGTTGGTGTGATGTCTTAGCGATTTTTACGGACTTAATATAGGTAGAAGTAGATGTAGATGATGTAGATAATAATTTGAATCGATGAAAAATCATGTCTGTTTTACCTTAGGTTTCTACTTTAAAATCAGTAACAATCAATTCAACAAATTGCTAAACAAAACACTACAAACTTTGTTTTTCCAACACCCCCGGCCACTCTAAAGATCCGGAGACTTTCATGTTTAACTGTCAATCATGAGCAATACGAGCGAACTTAACTTTCTGTGCGATTTTACGCTCTTCACTTAGGGGCCGACCATTTAACTCTTGAGGGGGAGGGG